TAACATAACCCAAGGCTTAGTACAAATGAGTTAAGAAAAGTACATAATAAAAATACTAGATTCAATATGTCAGACTGCAAACCGAAAGTTTCAGAAGAAAAAGACTTTTGCCATAATTAATAATTCTTAACACTTCTTGCCATAACATATTCTTATTTCATTCTGTAGGATCAGTCTACCCGGATTAAAAATGAAAAATTAAAATCCGATTGCCGTACCTACAAATACAACATAACGCGAAGAAATGATTTTTTTTTACATAGGCAAAAAGGAAAACCAGACTGAAACAATCATATATTTATGTACACATTAACATTTGTTTTTACGTGTTAAACATTGTGTTTGTTCTGGTCGTAAAAAACTAAAGTTCAAATGTTCGACAAAATTTTCCATTTGTTAAAGGATAGTTCGTAAAGTCATATAAAGTGTGTAGGTATGTGCGTGTGTCTGAAGCACATTTTAACAGGGTGTGTGCGTGGCTGCTGACTGAATGTGTGTGTGGGGGGGTGAAGAACATCAGTAGAAATGTTGTGGTGTGAGTGCTAATACATGAAATCTGATTACAATGGTTCCAAGAGGAAATGACCATACAGATAGATGAACAAGACTATCAATATTTCTTTGAATTGTGTGGATATTCCTTTGAATAGTGTGTAGTCGTTGCTGATTGGGGTGTTGTTATGGTAACGAGAGATTTCTGGTTGGATGTTTACAGATTCAACTGCCTGTCATCGACGGGTGATCCACGTCCAGCTGCTTACTGGGTTTTTGCTCTCTGTATGTGGTTTGTCCATGCGTTTCCCAGCGGTTTTCCCACGAGAGACTTACATATTGACGTGTAAGCAGAAAAAGTAAGAAAAGAGCTGAAAAAAAAATTATTTATAGTGCCGGAGAGCGTACCCTAGTAGCGATTTCAGGAAAGTAAGCCCGAAGATTAATCTGTAACCATTTTAATAGCGAATACAAAATACTAAAGTTTTTAAATCCTTTAAAACCATGTGTATATTTCTTGATATGTTATCCTGCTTTATTTTATAAATAAGGTACACAAAAGGAAATTTTATGCAAGCCCATCTTGTAAAAATACTGTACTTTGTTCTATTCTGTTATGTATGTTTTGTAACAAACGCTTGTTCTTTTAAATTTCATGCAATAATTTGAGCGAGTTTTGCTTTTGTTTATGTGTCTTAGTTAACGTTCGGGATAAAAGAGGGAACGTTATTGTTCTCTCATTCCTTTCTTTGAGATATCACAGTAACTGATCTTTCTTCGATTTTAGGTTAATTCGGCATACGAACAAACCTATGAAAACTTTATTTAAGTCCTTAATTCAACATCTTCGCATACGATCTACATTGTTTACGTTTTGTTACAAACCTTAAAATACTCTTCTTATGACTTTCTTCACATAAAGTCCCTTCTTGTAGGAAACTAGAATTCCTTAACTAAAAAATATATCAAATATGTGATTAGCATTGTAAGAAAACGTTTTTTAAGTGTTGGATCGGTTTACAAGAGCGGACTCGAGAACTTGTGGAGTGCACACCAGAAATCTATCTTTTTTGTACGTAAGCGTATATATTGGATATTATTATTAATGTCTGTTATACTCCGCTGAAATTAGATCTCTTTCTAATTAATTTTACATGTCGGCCGGATGTGAACCCTAAAAAAGCAAAACACAAAAAGCCGTTTTCTGAGCAGAGGCTCGGAGCATCACATCAGGGCGACAAAACCCCTGCGTCATAAACGTTCCCGCCAAAAAAAAAGATGACCCTGGTGGCTACCAGATTTGCTTAAAAGAAAGCTCCTTGTAAACAACCGGCCTCGACACCAGGCCTCACTCGTCATCACCACCGTGACCCCGTTTCATTTAATCTCATTCTACCAAAATCCAACAGAGACAATCCGCCACCAACCTACCAACGCACCCCTTTTATCGCCAAAGTCAGATTCATGACTTCACCTGACTCTTCACACTCACACTCTTGTATTGGCAAAGTCAAATTCGTTGTTTTGTTAACCACTCCGGGCTTCCTTCGTAGCTACCACCGTAACCTAGGCAACCAACCCAGGTCTGACCTTGAATCATCCCCGCTAGCAGCACACAGTTCGGCTTCAACATCTCCGCCTCATCACACGACCGTCAGCCCATCAAACACCTCACCAGTATTGATTTCAACCCTAAAGAAGGGCGAACGTCAACCCCCGGCAACAATACTCCACTTGACTTCACTAATCCGCTCCAGACTTATGACTGTGATCTCAGCCAACCAAACCAAGAAATTGGTCAACTCCCGGCCTTACCGACAACATATTTCCATCTAATCGCTTTCCTTAGGAACAGCAACAAAAGAACCACATATTAACAATTTCTACCACCTTTCACACAACTATATATATATTCTGAATTTTGACAAATATACGTATATAACATGTCTCAATTAGCTATTAAAATGTGAATTAAAAGTTCCTTGAATTTTCAATGTTAAATTTGTTTCTTTTTATATGTGAAACATTTATTTATGAGACTGTGATTTTGACCATTTTTGTCCACTGGATTTTTGCCATGGATTCGATAGAATAAGACAACAATTTTTTCAGTATCTTTATTCTTAACCTATGTATTATATACATAAATAATAACACATAATACATATATACATAATTATAACACCGATGTATGGAATAACCTTGGAACTCAGGAGACATTCAGAATATGGGGCTTCATTGAAAGTGGAACTGTTCATCGTGATTGAATTGTACCGGGATTTTAGTTTGTTTTTTAAAAAAAATGTTATAATACTTACACTTAACTTATAAACATTTCATTTTTATTATTTCAAAAATGTTAGGATTGTAAATGTATAATCGTCTAGCTTTTTGTAAAGGCACGTTCTTTTGAAAGAAATGTATTTTTTTTTCTGAAGGCCAGACGTTTCATGCAACAATTAGTGCATTTTTATAGCCCCTTTGGCTCAAGCGGTTGATACTGCCAATTGTTGCGGAATCATATTTTTTAATTCTTGGAGGAATTTTTCTTATATATCAGCCAATGAGAGACGAGATCTACAAGCCCTTGAGAAATTTTGGACGAAGCCGGTATAACCCTGCTTTTTCAATAAAAAGGACTGCAATGAACGGATAAACAGAAGAGAAAAAAAGAGCCGTTGAGATCGTGGAAGAAGACATTAACGCCCACGCTTCAAGAAGACTTGTCCAGCCGAAAAATCAACACAGGGAAAGAAAGAGCCAATAGATTCAAAACCCCAGGACAGAACATTCCTTCTTGCGTCTTCCAGAGAAGAATTTAAACCGAAAGAATTTTCAAGTTTAATATTCCAGTAAAGTACTACGAAAAGCCTCCAAGAGAAAACACGAAAACCCCTTCGTGCTGTGACGCCCTATTATTGAGCATTCTGTTAAGAACGAGGGTGGATGCGTTTTGTATTTTCTGCCTTGTGCAATTTTTGCTTCCTTTAAGTTTTTCCTTTTTCTCCATTTTTGAAGGGTTTATTCTTTTCTGTCTTTGAATCCGTGTCTTTTTCTAAAAATTGTAACACTTTTTTCCTTATATGTGATGGTAATCCCCTTTTTGTAACCTGAGGTTATCCTGCTGTAATATGTGCACAAAAGGAAATTTTTGTGCACACCTTGTATTGTAACTTTTTTTTTTTTTGTAATATTGTAAAAAAAATGTTTTTTTCCTTTTCAAAATTTTACGCAGTGGTAGTCTTGTTTGTAATTTCGCGCCTATTATAGAAATTTGGTGTTTTTTACTAAGTTTTGTGTCTGGCACAAGAACTTGAATTTGGTAGGAAATAAAAAAATAAATTTAAACTTACACATAACCTAAGATGGTATGATTCTGATGTAACAATGACATTGGGCCATTTATATTTCCTTTCATTAGGAAATTCCCTGAACTAAAATCGCAATTCTCTGCACTAAATACGCAATTCTCTGAACTAAAAACGAAACTCAAACTTAAAGGAAATTAAAAAGCTCAGAATTTCTCAACCCTCTCGGTTGGTTTACACATCTTTTATTTTATTTGATAAAAATTCACATTTTTTGTGAAAATCCTTGACTTGGCATATGAAACAGTGTGGGTTAGATGGTTTGAATTATGAAATAGGGAAATACGTACTGACAAAAAAAGTAAGTAATTTCACTTTTTAAATGCTTACTGCTTCTTTTCATAATGTTGTACATTTATTTTAACTTATAGTAATAGCAGCTGGGACGGTGCGAGGGTTTCGTGTCCTCTCAACCCCCGAATCTATGATATAGCCCCACCCCCCAATTCTATTACATCTCGTAAGTTAGTATTCATGTACAATAATGGATCATATGAAATATACGTAGGTGAACAATTCAACTAGTTACTAGAAATATTGAAAATAAATACAATTCTAACATGTCCTCATTCTATAAAAATAAATCAACAACGTTTTTGCAGCAAATTTTTTTTTAGCATCAACTTGAGATTTTTCTTGTCGAAATGTTGAATAATTTTAACACTTTCAACATTATGAATAAAGAATAATAGTGCATTCTTAGTGTCTTTTCGAGACTTAGAATGAGCAAAGCAAAACAAATTCACGGATTTGTACGAAAAAAAAAAAATGACCCCAACACCAGAATGATGTCAAAATCCGCGAAAATTTTTCATCCTTTTAAGTTCTGTTAGTTGTGCTTAGTAGTTTTAATTTGTAACGGAAAATATAGATAAAAAAAAAAAATAGAAATTTTCATAAGGTAGCGAGGTCCACAAAGCACTGCTCGGGGCCTCCAATCAGCCCCCCCCCCACCGGTCGGGGGTAGTACGCACCGGCCCTGAATAGCAGTGAGTAGAACAAGCACATGAACAAGTCCTTTTTTAGGTATTTTCTATAACTTATTCATTTGTTTTCTACTTAAAATGACATTCATTCCACGTAAACGAAGTTTTACTTTTACGTCGATTAAAAATAGAAAAAGAAAGAAAAAAATATCACATGACACTGGCAGGAAATTTATTTACTTTCAGTTTTGTTGCCAGCGACGAAATTCAGTTTTTCCAGCGGTAATATTTTTTCTCTGTTTCTTTCTATTTGAATTTTTAAAAAATATTTCTTATTTTTCAATGAATCTTTTATTTTGTGGCATGAAACAATTCTTTAAAGAAGAATAACACTAATTTAAAAAAAAGTTTTTAGAGAGTCGGACTCTCTAAAAACTTTTTTTTAGATTGCCTTTTTTTATTTCCTCTCAGTTGTAATTTAAAAAGAACTTTTGTAAAAAAATACATTAGCAAGATACTGTTTAAAAAAACAAAAACTCAATATAGTGATTTTCTTTTCTCTCACGCACTATCCTATAAAAATTTAAAACATGGTTTTCGTTATTTTCAAAAAATATTGCCAAATCTGTAACTAAAAAAATAAACAAACAAACCGTAAAAACTGAACATTTTCCTTTAACGAGTTCAATCGTTCTGTAACGGTACTCACCTAAAAAGGGTAAAGTTAAGTTACACTTAAGTATTAATTAGTTATTTATAATTTAACTAATTTTAGGTTTCGGAAAATGACGTGACTGTCGAAAACTTTTATTCTTGTTTGATACAGTAGACTAGAGCAGTTTTCTAAGTTCGAATCACTGTGCCGTTTTAAAAATGTATAAAAAAAATTTTAATGTCACTCTAAGTACAAAATACTAACTAAAACTGCAATAAATAATAATCATTAAGAAGATTCGCTTATAAAAACGTAGATAGATTTTTTAAAAAAAATACAAAATTTTTATTTTTATTTTTAACTGCTTTTTGGATGAATTTAACTTCAGAAATTGTTTCGATTTCCAGGAAAAATAATTTTTATCAGTCAAGTGAAAAACCTAGTGAAGTCGTCAGTCGATTAAAAAATGAAAATTGTAACAACATTGAAGAGAAGGTGCTGAAGAGAGAGACACAAAGTAAGGGTCCAGTTTTAAATCAATCATCATAAAAAGTAAGTCGACGTATAACTTTTAGTTTAAAAAATCTTCGAGTATCTAGCAGCGCCCTTGTGAGTTTGCTCGGAACGCCTCACGTTAAAAACTGGCCTTGTGTCACATATTGCCTTGTGGGGTGGTTGGTAAAAAGAAAGGGAAATTATTCGTGCAGAACCTTATAAAAAAAATTGTTTGCTATCATAATGCGATTTTAATTATTTTCTTTTTCAGCTTTCTTTAATTTTTTTAAAAACTATATTTTCTTTCATTTGTTCAGAATAACCATTTTTTAAAAATTATCCTTTGGTTGCTAGCAAGATGCTGTTTAAAACTAGGAAGTGATAAGTAAAATTGCCAATTGCGCTGTAATTAGAAACTGGATTTTCCATCCAAATTATTAGAATCTAAAAAAAAAAGTATTTTTAGCTGCTATATACATTTTTTTCTTTTTTGCGCTATATAGCATGAAAGAAAAAAAGTTCTTGCTCCTTAGTAAATTTTTTTTTTTTTTTTTCAAATTCCTTCATACCCAGTAAACTGCTTCTATTACTCAGTTATGTGCCATGCGTGATACATGCTTAGGCGATCATGTACCTTTTGATACATGAATGACGAGGCAGAAGACTACCTATGCAGCAGCGAAAACACCACCAACCTAAGACTATTGACAGAACATTGATTAATCAGAACAAACCATGGAGGATTGAACTGGCAATAAATAATAATCCAATGAAATTTAAAATAGACACTGGGGCTGATGACATTGCTATACCAGAACACATCTATAGAAAAATTAAATTACCGGCATTAACAGCAGCAACAGAAACCCTACTTAAAAGTGACACGAAAACTAAAGGCAACCATCCAAGGAAATAAAGGATGACAAACAATGCAATAAATTTATGTCATCTCTAAACTGGAAGAGCCACGATTAGGAAGACCAGCCATCAAGGCACCAAAAATATTGGCGATAAACTCTGCAGTGCTTAGTATCAGAAATACTAACCATAAACAAACGTTTGATCCTTTTGAAGGAAATGAAGGGCTTATTTCAGGGCCTTGGCTTATTTGGAAAAGACTACACCATACACCTACATGAAGATGCTAAGCCCTATTCCATCCCAATACCGCATCGTCATACAACTAACAATATTTTTACTTTTGCTTATAAGTCTTTGTTGCAAAATAAAATACTCACATTTACCTTAATAAAATCCATGAGAGTATTACAGGATCCTGATCATATATTATCCTTAAAAACCCCAAATCACATGCTCCAAATTTAATAATACAACAACGCATTCTGATTGGCTGAAAAATATCAATTACATGCTGTCAACTATGTTCGAATGTACTGGCCCTATTGTTATACCTGAACGTACCTATTCTATTATTAATAGACTCTCCCACACATAATAAGTAGTAATAGTGGTCACCAGTTGAGCTCAGTGGTGTTGAGTCAGTCAGTCGATGTCGGACATAGAAGTATCAACCATCACAACTAGATTGCTGCGTCATTAACTCTTATTTCAAGTTCCTAATGTTTTTGTACGTCGGACCCTTTTAGGACCGACTTAGTGAAATACAAGCCTCCACTGTGAAAACTACTCAACAATACCTATTTTTGACCTGAGCAAAAATATATTTGCGGAAAAAATTCTGGAGCCTACCACGTGATGCAAATTGTGTATATTAACAACACAAAATTCAGAAACAGACAGCGAAGTGGGAAAATCCAACCCAGAGCTATACTGTATGTGTCACTATTCTTCATTTCAAACTATATGTTAAAATTCTTTAACACTAAAACAGTCTACATTGCTCTTCCAACACAAGCTAACTAAAAGTCAACAAATATCAAAAAAAGACAACTTGGTTAAAACACAAAGCACTTCATTCACACTCAATTTTTGTAAACCTCAAGCTGTTTAATTTCAACATAGACCACATTATACTGTATATAGAAGATAATGATTGACATAGCATTTACATTTTTGAAGATTGAGGTTGACCAGAAAGCAAGAGGCTGGAAGAGAGTTCCACAAGCAAAAAGTGTGAGAGAATAGAAGATAAAAAAGGTTCCAGACAAGAAGTGTGAGAAAGAAACTATCAGCTTAGAACTTACAGTTACATTTAGTCTTTACCACTGTAAAATGAGACCTAGCTGCCAATTTAGTAATGTACTTAAATTCATAAAGTTGTGGTACTAAAGAGGAAAGCTCATCAGAAAAATTAGCATGAAAATATAGAAAAGGCACAAGGAAGCTACATTATACCAGTAAGAATGTGGCTTTAAAACAATGGTGAAATTCAAATTTCTTGTATTGTTAAACCCAAATGTTTTTCACACTTTTGAATTAAGATAAAATTCTTTGTATTGCCAATATAGAGAATCATGATGGAAAGTCTCTTTGTGGGTGAGGGAAGCAACATGGAAGATGGGGGGGCCTGGAGTTGATGCTTGTATCAGGTTGGTTGACGGAGATCACTAGTGGCAACGTTGACAGTTTGCTCGCTTGCCTGCAACTGTCAACAGATGGGGTGGATCATGACTTGCACATTTGCTCCAAGCATCACATCTGACTCACAAAACAAATTTCATCATAAAAAATAAAAAAAATATAAAAGGGAGCCAATCATAAATATTGCCACTAAAATAAAAGGCTTGACAAAGACACAAAGAGCAACATTTTTATTTTTGTTTTCTAAGTATTCACATTTGACCGACAGGTTTTGATGTAGAGGGAATCAGATAGATATATAGTTTAACCCTAGAACACTAACCATGGGTATATAGTACCCAGTGCAAATTTTCCTATTTTTAATTACAATTTTCAGTACCTGATTTTCTTACCTAAATAATGTTTTTCAGTTCCTATTAATGTCAACTCAAAGTACAAAGTTTGAAGTGCCTGCATGTAAAATATTTTAAATAAAGATTTATATTTAATATTTTTTTTTTTTTTTTTTGATATTTTCAAAATTGGGTATGATATACCCATGGTTAGTAGTGGTGTAACTTTAATTGATGGTTAGTGTTCTAGGGTTAAAATAGAATATAACAATGGTTTAATAAATTTTATTTTATTTACTAAAATAAAACATGGATAGAAATTTCCAATAGTAAATCTTATAGATCATATATGTCATTATCTAAGGATTAAATATACTATGTTGCAGTGAATATTAAAAATGTCTAATTTTTTTTTTTTTGTAATTTTTATTTCAGTTTATTGTAAAGAATGTCTGAAGGTAATGCAAACAATATGTCTGAGACAGCTATGGAAAATACACAACAACAAGATATGAAATCGGACTTCATGCACATCTCTCCTTCAGTTTCATCTTTTCTGAAAAACCATAGTGCTATTACAATGTCCGCTTTCAGAAATGCATTCAAAGAAAACGTACATTTCACAGTTGTGAAAAGTGAACAGATTCATGTTAAAGCTTCCAGTAATACACATGATATACTGAAAATTATGTTGATGAATGAACCTATAACAATGAATTATTCTTCTACGATCAAGTCTTGGTTAACTAAAAACAGTGCATCTTGGCTAACTTTTATCAATTCTTTGATAGAGAAATATATCTTTGCTGCTTATACTGAAGCAGATTTCTCCAAGTCATATTTTTTCATAGCCCCACATAACAATAAAGAGGTACTTGATGAGATCAGAGATTTTCTAGCATTAAATGAGTCTGAAGTACTCCCAGAAGATACAATACCGGAAAAATCTTCACTTGTCTCTGTGTACCAACCATTTGTGGATTATCTACTGAATAATGAAAAAATGGCACTTATTTTGAAAAGTGAAAAGCAAAGCTCTCTCAATGTGCCATTTATCGAAATTGATACAAGCAAAGAATCTTTTGAAATTCTAAAATCTAGACTGAAAATGGTTTCCAGTCAAAGTTGTTTGCTTAATGCATCTCAGGCAGAATTGCTTACAGAATGTAAAGATGAAATATTGTCTGATTTTCAAAGAAATTACCAGATAATAGGAAATGTATTTCAACCAGATTCACCAATGAATTCTCTGGTTCTTAATCATCAAACAGAGGTGATTTGTATTGTTTGTTCAGAACCTGATTACTGTCCAGTTGACAACTTTATTAGTTTGAAATGCAGTTTTTCGCCCAGTCAAGCAGGTAAGTCTCTAAAATTCTGCAATGTTTTCTTATTTTTCTAAATTGTATTTTATAATTTTATAGAAATATTTTTAAAAACTTAAGAAACAAATAAAAGAATATTACAAAGGTAATTTTTACAAGAGTGAAAATTATAGACCTTTTACAACACTTCCAATCCAAGCTCAATCAATTAATTCTAATAGTATTTGATTAAACTATAGGGTCATAATGCAGTTAATGAAATCACTTCTAAGTAATTTATCTTTTTCTTATATTCTCTCTCTCTCTCTCTCTCTCTCTCTCTCTCTATATATATATATATATATATATATATATATATATATATATAGTCTTTTCTCTTACTTTCACTCTGTAACTCCTTGTGTACTAGTGGCACTACCACCTTGCTTTAAATGCTTATAAAAACAAAAATAAATAAATAAATAAATATAATATTACCTCTGTAAATTTACATTGAGCACTGTTTTGTCAAAATAAAAATATCAATAAGAACACCAGATTATATATCTTACTGTTCTTTCTTTTTATTATAATATATATATATATATATATATATATATATATATAGGTAATAATCCATTGGTATATAATCCCAGTGAATTAATATAATAACAACATTAAAACTGATTCACATAGAGAGCTCAATATTTTGATATATTATATATTTATTATATATAGATATATTATATATTTATTATATATATATATTTGATATATTTGTTATATATAATTTGTATAACATTATAATAATATTATAATAATTCGGGGCCCTGATTTTGTGTTTCAAATTTTCCTTGATTCCATTTCCATTTTTGGTAAATTTCTTTTTTTTCTATTTTTACTTTTGGGTAGTTTCATTTTTTCCATTTTTATAGTATTTTATGAGAAAATTGCAATACAATACACTATAATTATTATTAAAACTGAAAACAAAAATATAATTCAAAGTTTTATTGCATATAAAGAAATAGCAAATCTTTTTTTAAATGTTAAAATCTAAGTTCAAAAATAAATTATATGAAAAATAAAAATGTAATATAACTATACAATAAAACAATGGAATGTTACAGTATTTATCTTTGAGGTAGAACTTTTAAAATCAGAGCTACATTCTTTAAGAACACGTTCAAAAGACATTCAAATGTTTTTGTTTTTTTTTAGTAAAAGGATTTAGATAGATTTATAATCATTGATTCATAATATAAATATCACATTTAAAGTAGTAACAGCAAATACCTTGAATCTCAATAATAAATATCTTCAAAAGTCAAACATTTTGGATAAAATTTTACAAAAACAGTAATTAAACCATAATAACTGGATCTTTATAACAAAATATGAAAAAACAAATTAGACAAATTAATTCAAAATTTAAATAAAACAACTTATCCCAAGATGAAACACTACTCAAGTTTAAAATTGCTAATTCCTTAATTTGGAAAATATCTAATCTTCAAATATCTTCTCTAAATCTCTATTGTAATACAAAATTGTAAGTTGCTTGTTCTCAGCGGTAAGACTTTCACGTTGTTTATTGAGTAAATTTTAGCTGAGAAAATTAATGTTCAGCACCTATGCTGGTAACATGGCATCCATATTGACCTTATTTCCTCTTCTGAAACAGACCCAGAAGAGGAAATCTGCTCTCATTTGCATTCCAAAAATGATGGGATAATAAAGGATTTAGTAAATCATCTTGGTAATTCATATACATTTGGAATTCTTCAAGAAGATCAATAGAAAGATATTGCAAGTCTTTGATGGCTGCAAAACTGTCTAAATCATAGCCTATACAAGGTAGCTGTCTAGGATCAAACAGACAAGCTGCCTTGTAAAAGTTATACACAGGGTGGATATCCAGGTATTTATTCAGTTTTGAAAAAGATGTGCTGAAAAAATCTTGGAAATTTGAGATAACTCTCTCCCTCTCTGTGTTTTCTAGTTCAGACAGAAGATGATCAGCTTTTAGGCCAAATGTCGATTTTGATGTATCAGTATGCAAATGCTATTTTACATCCTCCATTATGTTATATACAACACATGCAAGCAAAGACTTTTTCTTCTAAGTTTGTCAAACCTGTTATTAAATGAGTGCAGTTCTCATTTATAAAATACATTTAGGAACAAATTATGGTAAGAGGCATGATGTAATCAACCATCATCTACTAATTCTAGAATCCTATCTACAGTAAGGCCATGGCTCTTTTCTTGCTTAAAGAATACTTCATAAAACTGTACAAAAGATGAGTGATATTTGGCCACATTAAACCAGGAATTCCATCTGGTTTCCATTGGTACAGGGGGTGTTTCACTTGTTCCTTAGGCAAGGAATCTTCAAGCCATTTTAAGTATCGCTTTTTCTGACTAGGCTTTTTAAAAAAGGCTGACTTGATGAAAATAGTGACCTGGGTAACATTATCAAATGCTGGCCAGTGTGGAAATACTTCACTGACAAGATTTAAAATATGTGCTAAGCACAACACATAGCAACTGTTAACAAAGACATTTGACAACACTTCCTTATGAGCTTTTTTGCAATGGCTGTAGAATCTGTTACAAAGGCAATATCTTTAAATGCAATATCCACATGAGTTACAACTCAGATGCATGCCTGACTTAGTTTGATGATTGCATTCTCACAAGGCGACAACATTAATGAGAAATGACTCCCAACAAATGCTTACAATTGCATTCAAAATGCTGTGGTGATGATAGTTGTTTCATGTTATGATGCTGACTGATTGATTAACAAGCTTGGCTTTCAGGACAGAAAAGTGACAAACAATTTTGGTTGATGAAGTTTCCTAATATGATTGACACTTGGAATAACACTTGAAATACAATGTTTTAATATGTATCACCTCATTTTGTTAATTTTGTGTAGGGCAATGTCAGACAAAGTGCACATTTTCAAAAAATCAAGGAAAAAATCATCTCATACTTCTTTACTCTTCAACAAAGTTTGATTGTTTTCTGTTAAGCTGACTTTTTTGAAGACTTTTGTCAAATGAGTTTTTGATTTGAATGCAATCTTTGATTGTGTCAACCCTAAATATGTCAACACATTGGAGCCAGAATTTGCAAAATAACATTTTCTTCTGCATAAAAGTCATAAGGAAATTGCACTACTTAGCACAAAATTTAGCTATTGGGGTCATTTTTTTTCTTCTTTTTACAGCAGCAGGCTCAACTTTTGAGGTTGATTCAATATATTGACTTTATTCTGTCATCTTGGGAATTTGTTGTTTATTCATACAACTCATTTAAAAATATAAATAAAATATTAAAAAATAGATGATGCAATTATTAATCTGGTAGAATCTCTGTGTGACAGTAAGCTTAGAGACCAGCCAGTTGTTTCATAGAATGCTGTTTTTGGAGAATTTTTTTTCTTTATTTCTAAATTGTATGGTAGGCACGTGATAGCATTTACTTTTTCATATTCATAAAACAAGCTTACAAGTTGTTTAGAATCTTTTTAAAATTCTGTGAGGCCTAAAGGAAATGAATTTCTTAAACTTATTGGTTTGATCTTTGTCTCTATGTCTCTCCCCTCCAATTTTGATATCAACTAGTATCTGTCTTCCATTTCCACTTTAGCAATGGATTTTAGTGGCCACGACCAAGCCATGACCTGACTTTCATGTTGTTTGCAACATAGTTTCTTAGAAAAGTTATAAAATATTTAAAAATAGACTAGCCAACATATTTTCAAAAAATCAACAATTCACTTTTCTTTTTTTTTATGTAAACGTTTTTGTTCTTAATTATTTTTCGGGTTTTATAAGGAAAGTAATACATACAAAGATTTGTAAAAACAAATTTTAAGGAAATAACTGTTATGTTATTGTTATATTAGAATGTATATCTCTTTTTTTTCTTTATATTTCTTTCTTTAATTATCAGTTAGTACTTATTATTTTTTAATTATAATTTATATTTTTCTTTTAATATTTAACCTGACTATAATATTTTTCTTAATTTATTTATACATACTAATTTATTGCCATTATTGTAAGTGTAGATTTTTCATTTACTTTTCATTTACTCTTGCTCTATTATTCATTTGGTTTTTAAATTTAAAATCGTCTCTGATTTTTCATTTCCTTGCAGATAGTAATAGTTTAATATGTTAATATAATTTTTTTTATTTAATTTAAAATGAATAATTTAAATGATGCATTTCCTAAATAGAAAATAATTAAATAAATATATTTTTTAATATTTTAATATTATTTTATTTAAATATATTATTAGATTAATAGTGATTTTTTTATTAAAAAAATATTCTTCCCTAAATTTCCACTTCAATTTAACTGAGGTGAATATTCTATATAAATCAGGTCAGTCTACATTATGTATCTCCTCTTACCATTCCCCATGTCTAGACATTACTACCCTCTCTATACCTTCTTCTTTCTCCTCTTACACTTTCTATCATGGCCTTTCACTAATTCTTTTACTCTTTCTTTTCTTCCTTTTTCTTTCTTTTTTGCCTCTGCCTGGTTGTTAAATTTGTTTTTTAAGCCAGTTTCATTTTATTTTTTCTTATTAACATGATGGGTTTGAAAATCCCCCAGATTAATTTTAATTTGTTAGGTGAAATGATCATAGTCTTGATGTAATCTTAATTCCTTAATTCCTATTGTATGCAATTTATATATATCTGTATCTATATATCTATCTATAATTATATATATATATATATGTATATAATAAAAGATCATTCAGGCCTTCTGTAATGTTACTAACATTCATACTTTGGTTTCTAACATCAAATCCATTCAAGAATCATCAAAATTCAAAAAAGTGGGAACAGTAGAGAGGAAAACTGGATCAGGAGGCCACATCAGGGGCAGGGATCATCATTTCAACTTAGACTTAAAGAGATCAATTAGAAAAATCCAACTCAATCCATAAAATGTTTGGCATGTCAGAAAGGATTTTCAGAACAGTCCAAAGAGCGGTGAAAAAACACTTGTAAATGAAATACATGA